TACTTACCTTACCGTTGACCTGCAAACTTATATCGTTTCGCCATTTTCTTTCCCGCGTTCTCTTGCCCTTTCAATGTCTTTTACACATTACTAAAGCGTCCATTATTAACCCAAAAATCACAAATTCAACAAAACTTATAGAAATAAAACTTGTATGTATAAATTATAAACTCATTTATAAAACTAATAAACTATATTTTTAATGTTAAAAATCATTAAATAACACGAAAATTAACACTTATTTTTACAAAACTACGCAATAACTCAATGATTAATTTTCCACTTTGAAAAAGAATAGTACAGTGTTTTAAAATCTTTTTAAAATGCAGTGTCGCCAACTTAATGATAAACGTATACCAGCCAGCGGTAAATAAAATACAACCTCTTTGGATACAAAAATATATGAAATCGCTGAAAAAATTCTAACGTAAAAAGGGTTTAAAAATTAATTTAATAGGTCAATGGTATTTTATTTATGAAATTATTGTTATTTATGAAATATACTTACGTAAAATATATTAACAGGTTAAAGAGTTTGTACTGAATTTTAACTATGCGAGATTTCAAAAGATACATGAAATTATAAAAATTATTAAAAAAAAAGTAAGTTATTGACAGAGATGGTTTCAAAGATAAATCTGAATTGCAGCTTTTGTTAATATGAATACTGATTACTATTTTATTTTAATATGTTTTGGCCTGATAAATCTGTTTATGGCCAACTTTTTTCGATATATTTTTAAAGTACTAAAATAAACTCTATACGTAAGTAATCTGTGTGCGCATTCAAAGCGTAATGTAGTGTTCTTAGTAGTGCGTAGAACATCGAAGTAAATGCGTCAAACATAAACAGAGGCAGTAGCGTTTAGACGCGCGGCGGAAACGTCCCAATCCTTTGTGAACGTCTCCGGCGCGTCTGTCTGTCCGTCTGTCACAGACATGAGGCGCTATGTTACCACTACCGATTGGAATTGACAAACTTCCGCGTCTATTAGTGTTAATGTTGATATTTCATGTTTTATAGATCAATTTTTAATTTGGTATTAGAAATATTGCTTGTCCCAATAAATTAAATTTATTACAGATGCTATGTTCCCTAATAAAAATATTTATTATACAGATGTATAAAAAAGATGAAGTAAATTATAATTATAATATTGTTAATTATTGATTTTATAAATCTAACAGTATTTGCATAAAAAAAGAATATAATATTTTTTTTTCTTATAAACATTACGATGACCTAAATATCAAATGTTTTACAAGTCAATCAAGTGGCTGTATAACTCTTGTAACCTTTGACAAAAATTAAAAATATAAAAAACATAGACAATGTGCTCTCATAACTAACCATCCGGCAACTTTTTCCAGGAGCATTACAAATAGACAATACGTAAACCGCTCCGTTAGATTTGTTTATGTTTATTTAAATTTACATTCATACACGATTTTCGTATCATTTGCGCTTTGTAGTCCTGGTAATGGCCGCGCTAGTGTTGTTCTTATGAATAGTGTTGTAAAGGGAATTAATATTTTTTTATGTTAAATCTTTTGACAGTTATGAATTTAATCATCTACCCATAAAGTACAGCAGTGCACTCTACGTAATCGTAAGTAATTTTCTACATATTATTATTTAGTACCTATTGTAAATTTTAATATTATTTTGTCCATTTCACAACGTATAATTTCTAAGATTTTAAAATAACCTCAAATTTGTGTGATTTTATTTTGGAGCATAATATGTGTCGTTTGAGGTAGTTTTTAACAATGAAAACCAGTGACAAAGCGCTCGTATTACCGATAATATAAAATCGGTATTAGTACCGATTGGACATCACTCCAGTACAAAACCAGAGCGAGTTATTTCCACTAAATATGTGCTACTGTTTCCGTGTTAGAACAATAAACATGCCTCCATATTGTTTTAGCACCAACATGATGGCACGAGATTGTTCAATTGTGTACTTCGTAGTGCGATTCAAAGGAAATTTAGAATGTTATAAACTGGCATTTAGTTAACAATAATAGATTTCAGTCAATAAAATTATAATGTTTCTACTGCAATTTGAAAGTTACTCACCTACTATTGTTATTTCTAGACTCAGAAACATTAAATAGAACGACTACTAGCTGTCGCCTCAGACTGTCTGCGCTTTCCCTGTCTCGATGGCTTGACACTTTCCTTAAAGGCCGGCAACGCATCTACGGTTCCTCTGGCGTTGCGGATGTCCAAGGGCCTCGGACCAAATAATATTAGGCGATTCGTTTATCGTTTGCTATCGTTTTCTATAAAAAAATACATGTACAAATTTTCCTCTATTTACGTGCCGCCGTTGTGGAATTTTGCGTATTATCAATCTATCCATAATCACCAGTTATACGCCGGAGCGTCACTGAGGGTCAGGAGTGGACTGGGGCATAATCATGCTGGCTCAGTACGGGTAAACCATCCACCCAAAAATTTGCATTTATAATATTAGTAAGATTAATATAAATTACAGTTCATAGGTAACTAATTCGTTTTAAAAATTAATTGCAATCAAATCAAGTAGTTATCGTAGCTGTGCAAACTCTCCCTAATATGTGCTTTATAACTATACGTCTAATTAAAATTGAGCAGTACTATAAAAATTATTTAAATAAACAAAAACCGATATGCTTGCAAAATTAATGTAGGTATCACTCACGCGTAACGTAGATCCGCGAATCGAATATGAAACTGGTTTTCTTTTAAAACTGGCGGGAAATTATTGACAGATGCCAAAAATAGGCGCCATTAACTTAAAAATTGTGAGAAAACGTATTTTTGTAAACGGAGTTGACCTGATTTTATTAAAGAGATATATAAATAAAAATTTTACTGAGAATTTTGATAATTTTTGTCTATTAAACAACCTATAAATGTTCGATTTTGTTCATACTATTTCTATAGCGGTACATTATATTATTAATTGACAAATGTAATTACGCAGTTACCAATATTTTCATTATAAGAGGTAGAAATTTAAAAGGCGTCCGCAACTTTTTCTTTTATAAATCATGGGGTGGCAATGGAGCAAACGGCCATCTAAATTCACCGAAAGTGCAAAGCAAAAACTTCTTTTTTGCAATCTTTTCATACTTGGCCATGGAGTATAAAGTTGACTTGTCCCTGTTTATGATATCTTTAATTTATTCTTCTCCGTGCGTTAGGTACCCCAGTACTCTTTATTAAAAAGTAAAATAAATAAGAAACAAATTTTAGGTTATAATTTTCATCGCATAAAGTGCTCATATTGGTTGACGATTGTATACAAAGTTTAGATTTTGATTCGGAACTGGGTATACAACATAACATTTAGATAATTCTATTTAACAGTAAAGCACGATGAGAGTTCTGAGTAGACCACCCACGATTACCTGACGATGTCCAGAACACGGTAGCACTCGGATGTATTCCTTGAAGACTTTTTATATCATTTCATTGTTTTACATTTGAATTAAAATACATTTGGTAGCTTTATTTAATAGGAATAGATGTTTTATTAGATACAGTGTGTTCGATAAAGTCTTTCTTGGTGAATTTTGCAGTCTGCTGCATGCTATCACGGCCGGGACAATACCGCGATCACACAGAATAAAGCCTTGAATCATACCCAATTTTCGTCTAATGAATGTGTTGCGAAAAACCCAATTTTAGTCATCTGTCCACCGGTTTCTAAAAAGAAAATGAGAACGGAAGAGAATTTGGTGTAGAAAAGGTAAATATTATTTTACTATCTTTCTTCTTACTAATATTATAAATGCGTATGTTTAGATGGATGGATGGTTGGATGTTTGTTTGAAGGTAACTCCAGAACGGCTGAACGGATCTTGATGAAATTTAGTATACATACAAAGTCTAGAAAAACATATAGGCTACTAATTATTTTGTTTATTACGCGCCGACAGAGTCGCGGACGAATGCTAGTTTTTTTGTTTTAAGTAGGCGCATCTGTAACTTATTCTTTTCCTTAAATAGAAACATCTTTATTATACGCGTAATTCTAGAAACTACAACATATATTTAACCATGTGTGGTACACACTGATGAATTTATCTGTGTTTAGTGTTGCCAGTTAATCGAATAAACAGTTTAAATCGAAATCGATAAAACGCAGACCGTGCGGAACCAAATAAAACGCAATCTGGTACTAACGTTGAGCGACTTATTTATTTAAGTGGTATAAACGGACAAACCTCCCGTCATTATTTACATCGACCACACATAAAATGTGACCTCGGTTGTTAATGCCTGTACAACGCTTTTATGGCATTTTATCGGTTTTCAATTGTTATAGAGTTTTCTATAATGGCATAGGTAAGAGGTCGATTTTAACTGGGCAACGAGTTTTTTATGTGATGTTTTTTTTAATGTATTTTTGTACATAAATGTTTTTTTTTCGCTGTAGTTTGTAATAGTTTTTATTAAAAGCGTTTGTGTATGTTTGCTGCTTTTGCTACCAAAACATTAAGAATCTATACTTTTCCTTTTTTAATCGGAAATTAGACAGACGACGATATATTTGAATAAATTTAAGTTGTGAAAACCAACCTGAAAAAATCCATTGTGTTTTGTAGAGGCTGTAGTCTGTATAAATATAATTTAAAGTAAACTATTTTTATCAATGCAATTTTAAAGTAAATGCGTATAGAGTTTGAAAATATTTCTTCTTTTAGTTCAAATTATAATACTTAATTTTATTCAAAACCAAATAGAGGTTCAAAAATTCAAACTTCGACTTTTCGCACAACAGATGGCTCTGTACATTATTTAATATTTAAGAATTTGTTGGTTTTAGAATCATAAACCTTAAGTTATTAGTACAGTTCGTATTTCTTATTCAATTGTATATTTTGATTAGAATATTTTTGATATAAGAATATTTTATAGAAAAAAAAATTGTAACTTTAGTGAAAACAATAAATTATTGTATTCGTAAAAGTATCCGAACGCAATATCACTTGCAGTAAAAATGACGTTTGCTGACAGTTGTGCTTTGTTATCGTGCAGAATATTTTCCACTTATTTTAGAAGAACAAAATTTTCGTGTATTAGTGCAGTCAGATTTCATATGGATATAAGACATGAAGCGAAGTCCGCAATGGAAATCGTTAATATTCCTCCGATTGTATCAACATATAGACAGGCATTGCATACTTTCGATGACAAGTACAAAAACGATCTTAATACAAACTTACTTAAGCTCAAATCTATGATGAATAATTTAAAAGCGGAAGATTTAGGATACGATAATACTCTTAGTGACCCGGGGACTTGGCGGAGACCGAACAAGGCACCTTGTACATACGTGGAAGTGTTTCAAAATAGTCTTGTGAATATGAGCATATTTGTTTTGAAGCCGGGTTTTAAAATGCCAATGCATGACCATCCACATATGCACGGACTACTGAAGGTGATCGCGGGTGCTGTACGCATAAGGAGTTTTACCGAATTCCCGCTGAAAGAAGCGGTTAATGAAATAGATTTCGCAATACGTGCCAAACACGAAGCCGCTCGTATCGCGCACGGAATTCATAAACGGAGAAGATTATTTGCGACAGTATCACAAGACTCAATATGTGCAGCGAATAGTGAAACTTGTGTTCTAACACCAACAATATCAAACTATCATGAAATAGAAGCATTGGAATTTCCGGCTGCATTTTTTGATATACTTTCCCCACCTTATGATACCTTGATAGAGAATATTGGGCCTAGAAGATGTAGATATTATTATGTAGCAAATGAAATTAGCACCAATTTAGTTGAATTACAAGAAACAAAAGTGCCAGATTGTTTTTATTGTGATCAAGTACCATACTTAGGTCCATATCTTGGGTAAGAAATAAATGTAATTATAAATACATGTTAATTTTAATGTTGAAGTTTACACAGTATGTTACCACAGTATATTACAACTTCTATCTTGTTAGTTTTGTTATTTAAATTTAATGACAATAATTTTGAAATGGTTATGACACTAAATATACCTACTCGTTATTGTTTGCTCTTGTGGTTATTGAACAGATTATTAATAGTAACCATAGAAGGATCACAACTGAACTATTATAAGTGAGTAATTTGGCTTAGAGAGAAACCTCTATGAGTAATGTCACTGCCCCTTTATTTCTTGCTTATGACAGTTCAACTATATTCAGACAATATTTAAAAATAAATGAATAGACACATAAGGCACAAAGTTTTGTCAACAAAATCTTTCTGAAGCATCAATCAATTATGAATCAAAAGCAAAACTAGTAATGTCCAGTTGTGTCAATTTTTCAAACTGATATGATAGAAAATATATATAATATTTTTTAATAATATCACTGAAGTGCATAGAATGGATATGCAGACTAAATTGATATATAAACACGGCTAAACACTCACGTATATTCGTCCGGTGGCGGCACCGACTAGTTTCGAGCCCATCGGGGGCCCTTCTTCAGTGAGTGACGGGCTGCGTCCACGAAATAATACCAGTACCACTCATTCTGAAGTAGGGCCCTTGATGGGATCAAAACTAGTTGGTGCTGACACCGGACGGATATATATGAGTGTTTAGTCGTGTTTATATATCAGTTTAGTATAATGTCTCACGAAAGTTTGAATAATTTGATATGCAGACTACTATTGGTCTTGGTTTTGAATACATTTTTATGAAGCCTTGAGCTTAGATAGAATGATTACTAAACATATTACTTAATCAATTTAATTATTAATATTTATTGTAATATGTATGTCTAATATATATCTTCTACATTTTTTGGCTAAAAAAATGGCAAATTATAGAATATAAATATTTATGTCAAAATATTTTCTAAATATCTTTTAAAAAATTGGTTATTTCTAGTTTTGCTATTGCATTGCTAATATTTTCTGAGACATTGTTACCTGACCTAATGTTCAAGTGAATGGACCAAAAATATATTTAAGCTTAGATTCGGCTAAAATATAGGAAAAGTGGTAAGTGCTTTATTAAAAAGTAATAAGTAATTAGATGATTATTAAATTGTCAATGTAAGTTTCCATTATCAAAATTATTATATACGGTCAAAGATATAATGCAACAAGATTAATCTGGGCTTGTAAAAGAATTGGTGCTATTGCTTTTATTAGTATAAGATGATAAGTTAAGTAAGGTTAGCGATTTGCAGGCAGCGTCCAAAAAAATAAAGCCCAAAGTTTAAGGTTTATAAAATCTTGAGCACCAACCCTACATAAGTGGATAAGGCCAAGGAGATGATGATAAATAAGCAAATTGCCACTGGGATTTGCCAAAATAGTGATGTGACTGCCCAAAGGCATGTCTGAAAAAAAATTATAAAATTACATAAAGAAATAAATTTGACACGATATAAACAATTCTTGTGATACTATTTTGATGTTGATGGGGTAGCAATATCTTATATATCTCTCGTGTCACAATTTTCGTTCCCATACTCCATCGAAACGGCTTGACCGATTCTCATGAAATTTTGTGAGCATATTGAGTAGGACTGAGAATCGGCCAACATCTATTTTTAATCCCGCGCGGACGGAGTCGCGGGCGACAGCTAGTTGAACTATAAAATTATACTTGACTAAGCCTACTAGATCAGATAAATTTGTTGATCTATAATTTTTGTTTTTGTATCAGTGTTTTAGCAATGAAAATAGTTAAATGTCTCATTGGCAGTAACGAAGAAATGTCAATTTTGAATAACAAATAGTACAAATTGTTTATATGTTTAATATCTAAATATTATATAGATAAAAAGTAGTATATTTATAAATTTTTTATATAAAGTTAATACAATAATGAGTATTATTATGGCTTTTTTGAACTGCAATAGTTATTTGAGGGACACTGGAAGGATGTCCCTTAAAGTTAAAGTGTATTTAGTATGATAGATCTATACTAAAGAATAAGGAACCTAATATAACATAATTAGGTAAAAGTTATTGTTTTTTTGGTCCCAATAATGTCTACCTTTGACTGAGGTTTGAAACATTTCATTTTTAAAAGGTATAAAATTTAATGTGTTCTGATATTTTCAATGTTTTTATCTAATTGAGATAGGATGAAAAGATATAATGTAATTTATCACAAAAATATTATAATGTAATTTTTTCACAAAAATTATATTCTTAACATCACATTTTTTAGCATCACAATTTAATTATTATCAATAGAAATTTGAAGTTAACAGTATTAATATAAATATGAAACGTAAAGGGGTTTAAATATATTTAATTTAAAATAAGTATTAAAGTCCTAATATATGCAAAATGTCTTTACACTTCCTATACTTTCATCATCATCAGCTCACTATATGTCCCCACCGAGGGGCTCGGAGCCTACCTTAAGTTAAGGGTGATTAGGCCATAGTCAACCACGCTGGACAAGTGTGGGTTGGTTGAACTTTAAAACTAGTTCAGAGCTGATAGACACAGGCCTGTCTATTATTGTTGATTTTATTAAATGTAAAGAAACCTTTATGTAAAGAAAATTTGGTCAATTACCATTTTGTTAGTTCTTTTGCTTTTACAATAATACTCCATTTTTTTTTGTATTCATTTTTAATTTAAAATGTCTTGATTTAATTTAATTTTAAAATGTTTGACATTCCTTTATTGTAATTACTTATAAAATAATTATATGACATTCACCAAATAGTCATAATTAATTTATTGTTTTTGCATAAGATTTAATTTTGAATTTATTGTTGATCTCTTACCGTAGAATTACTGCAGTCACACTTGTATTAATATTATGGTCTCTATTTTTGTTATAGAGAGTGAAAGGGATGACAAGTGTCGCTGCAGTGTGAGTTTACGGTTAAAACACTGACATCTATAAATGGACTGGCTATAAGATGTAGTATTTTGTGCCTATTTGATTTTCGCCATTTTGGCGCTGATAGTAACGGTTTGTAGCGGTGGTGAAGATTCGAACTAATAATATGTATCGAATTACTGTCATGTAACACAGGCGCGTTTCAATCGGAACGAAGTAGAAGCTGTCATTTCCAAGCAATCGCCTATCCATTTATAGAGATAAGTGGATTAAAACTTTTGGGTGTATAAAATTCTTTTCATTATAACAAAGATGTCTATTATTGTGTAAGATATAATTATTAGGGGTAAAGTTGTTTTGTGGACACGGTATACATTATTGTTAATAAAAATTGTTACTGAATTTTTTTCCTTTCTAAATCCCTAAAATAAGCTTTAATTCCAACTTCGACTTCCAATTTTTTTTTTAATTTTTTTAGACTGACAAAAAAGGTATGGTTTTGTAAATATTTTGAAATTTGAAACCCAAGGTAAAACATACATTCACAACAGTGACATGCTCCGAGATGATTCAAATATTATCAGAATTATCTTTGTTGATAAATAAATAAGAAAAACATGTCATGATTAGATATATCTTTATTGAAATAATACAAGTAAAGAGTAAATTATAAAAAAAACAGAATATAGCACGCAAAAAATGAGTCGCTCTTTAACCAGGCATATAAAAACTTGCCATAGTGAAATGAAGGCGATTGAATCGCCCAATGCTAGTATTTTCACATTCCTGGTTACATTATACTCAAAAATAATTATTAAAATATATATGTAAATAATTATTTTTATTAAGGCTCTATCAAACAGCACCTCATACATAACTTATTAATATTAAATTTCTTTTTATTTTACATTTTTCCTTATTGTACTTTATTAATGTTTTTAAATAATATCATAAGAAAAAACTATAATAAATGTACTCATTGAAATTAGAAAAAAATAATTATTACAGACAAATTGTATTTCGATTCGTAATTTTTTCTTTTTTTTTTAACTATATCCAAGAATATTTTTCAAGTTTTTAAAGAATTGAACTGTCAGAAAATTTTTTTGGTTAAATTTTTACTTTGATAAAAAAAAGATAAAAGTCGACGTGACAAAATTATCTCTTATTTCTATCATCATATCTGATATAATATCGAATGTTTTGAGCATATTCATTTACTATATAAATTAATATACAATAGAATCAATCTCAAAAATCTAGAATGTTCCAATAAATGCAAATTTTTAACATACTAATATACCATAATGGAATTGTTTTTACAGATTTTTTCTCTTTTAAATATAATTCAATTTTCAAAGAACCTACATTTTTTATTTCAAAAGTAAATATATTTTTCTGAATAAAAATAATAAAAACTGAGCAAGATTTTTTTTAATTTAAAACTTGTCAAATTTCGTATGTATTCAAGTAATTTTAACAATACAATATTTTACAAATTTCAAATAGAAATATAAATGAAATAAGTATTCTAATTTTGAGCTCTTACTATATTTTGTGTTTGAATAAAATATATTTCATTACCGAAACATTTAAAGAAACATATTGTCATCTCTTTCACTAACACTGAAAAAAAACTGAGATAAATATATGTACGTATGTTTCGGTAATGTAAATTTATGATTATACATAAAGTAGTTGTCAAATATCTCGCCAGCCCGGTACATCGCACTTATCGCTGCACACACGTAGATCACAATAGGCGCGGCGGATGACTGAGCGGCCAAAATATTTGAAACGAATTATACATATTTAAAATATGTTCTAATATGGCTTAAATTACTATTCATTGTACTTATAATCTCTGCGGACTAGTTAAAATGATAATTAAAAAGTTTAACAAACTGCAATATTCAAATTTAAAATCTTTCATTAATTAAAAAAAATTGTCTTTGGCAGTAAAAAAAATTTGCTTTCTAATTTTTTTTAATATATTTTATGAGTTTCTTTAAAGTAGCTGCAATGATTAATAATATAATATTAATAAAACCGTTTGTTTTTTACCGAAAGACATGTACAAAAACAACCTTCCTTACATTCTGTATGAAACAGACAGAGAAAGCATTATTTTTTGTACATGTATAAACATATATTAATATAGTATATTATATAGTACAGTTGCGTTAATATTCATAGGGAAATCCCTATGAATATTAACGCCACTACGCATTTTTATCATATTATATTGATTTTTTTATCACTACATATGCGTGAAATAATTCGGCATGCGTCCGTTAAAAAAATTAAAAAAGAATTTAATATTTTTTTTTCGTCGTAATGTTCATGGTAAAGACATATAATGGTGATAAAGACATATAAAGTGAAATATTGGACGGGGTTTTTAAAATTTATTACAATAGTTCATGCCAATACTAGATCTAAAGTTTGTAAACAAAATTACTATAGAAAATGGCCAATAGTATCAAGTTACAGCAAATATGTTAAACTTTGGGGTAAATAAGATTGTATTGTTCATATACAAATTTTTAACTTGGCATGATGACACAGAAAAACAAGAAGATTATTCAAATATAAAATTATACAGTCGAACCAGGTTAAACAAGAGTCCAAAAGACCGCGATATTTTTCTGGCATTTACCGTGGGTTTCTGAGACCAAAATCTATATAAAACATGTCGTCGCTCTGACAACACAGAGATTGCAATATGTATACACAGAAATTTAGGATTCAGAAATCCATGATTAGAGGTTTCTATTTAACCCAAGATTTTACACAATTCTCGGTTATCTAGGTTCGACTGTATAATTTTTTTTTAAACTTAAATAATTTTTTAGTTTTAATTTTGGAAACTCTTCAAAGTGATATAACATTACGGCAGTGTCATATTTATATTATAATCATAAAGTT